AATAATAAATGGATAAGAATGATAAACGTTAAAACACATGTAACCAAATGACATGCTATATGTGATGATGGTTTTTTTTTTCTGTTTTGTTTTTTGTTCTTTTTTTTCACTGTTGTGGGTATGTGTTGTTTAGGTAACAAAAAAATAAAATAATTAAAAAAAATAAATGTCACCTCCTGCAGAGTTGTTTTACTACTTTAAAACACCTTCCAAAGATGTCGCCAAGCCTATTTTTAACTCTGATTTCTCACCGAGATCAGCGAGGGGTAACCTTTTATGTCGCCACGTGCTGGAAATGGCATGCAAAACCATCCCGCCTGGATGTGCGGCCTTGCTGGCCTTCGCGCACATGGGAGCGCCGAAACCTGGAAGAGCAGCATTTCAACATGCATGCACACGACAGCACCTGAACTTCCAGTTCCCGGTGTGGGCGTGTGCCCGGCAAACAGCTGGCTATGGCGCATGTGGCACGGTAGAAACATGGAAGTTTGGGTGCTGGCATGCGCATGGGCCCCAGGACGCTGCTCTTCTGGGTTTTGGCACTCCCATGCGCATGACGTCCAGTCGACCAGCCTGTGTGTGTGCACAAGAATGTGGAAGAGGAGCTAGCGAGGCCGCGCGTCCTATGTGGGATGGCTCTGTGTGCTGCTAAGTTCACCAACATGGACCTAGATGTATGGTCCAACAATCTGGAGCCTTGGGGTTTAAATACCACAGGGATGTGTGGGTGAGGAGTTACAATAAACTTAGAACAGATGAGCCAAGATGAGCTTTCTTCCTGCTATTCCGTTTTCCCATTTAGAAGGTGGACATTCGTCTGATAGGGAGAAGAGTGGCATATAAATTTAATAAAGAAGTGGATAGAATCCCACAGTGACTGCGAGAAGGATCTTGGAGTCTTAGGGGACTTCCAGCTAAAATGAGCCAACAGTGTGCAGCAGCAGCCAAAAAAGCCAATGCAAATCCTAAGTTGTATGAACAGAGGGACACAATCCAGATCAAGGGAGGTACTGATACCATTCTAGCCAAGGTGCAGAGCCAAGGTGGCGCAGTGGTTAAATGCAGCACTGCAGGCTACTGCTAGATCAGCAGGTCAGCGGTTCAAATCTCACCGGCTCAGGGTTGNGCGGTTTTGACGGTGCGGTTTTGTCACCGCGCTTTAGTCACACGCGCTTTAGTATACCGCGGTTTTGTGGTGGAACCCTAGTAATCACCTTGTTCATTGATTCCCCGTTGATTTTGCTTATGAAAAGATCACAAAAGGTGATCTCATGACCCCAGGACACTGCAACCGTCATAAGTATGAACCAGTTGCCAAGCATCTGAATTTTGATCACATGAGGATAGGGCTACTACAAAGGTTGCAAGTGTGAAAAATGGACACGTCACTTTTTTCAGTGCCGTTGTAACTTTGAATGGTCACTAAATAAACTGTTGTAAATTGAGGACTACCTATAGCTTAGTCATTATTTACCTGTGGCCAGGTAAAGCAAATTTGTATTTAACTGTATGTGCCAAATATGATGCAATGCATGCATATTAAGGTATAACTTTATTATTAAAAAGTTTTGTTATCATCTCCCTTAAATTCAGAAAACAACCCCGTTTTCTTAGGTGCAACAAGATTTCTAGCATGCATGAATCATAACTTCATCACAATGATATAAACAATAAGTTTAAAAAAATCCCTGCCAAACGGATACCCTTTTTGTACATTATAAAACAGTAAGCATGTTTATAATTTCCAAGTTATTTTTAAAGGTAAAGAACCATTAATATAGATTGGTCTTCTTCATGATTCGCAAGAATTCTTCCTCATTTATTTCTCCATCTCCATCACGATCAGCTTCATCTATCATTTCCTGGGAGGAGAGAACCACTGAAGATTAGGCACTGTTCTAGAAGCATCTGACACTACTTTCATGGAATACATCCTCAGTGTTAACTTATAACTTTTATAATGTTTAAACTTCAAATATTATAGAAGGAGTTATATATACTGTAAGAAGTTATAGTTATATGTAAAGTTATATGTAAGAACAAATTTATAAGTATTCACAGCTCTTAAACATATAAAAATGGCACCATCATTCTACCAGTGACAGAGAGATTAGGGTTGAGAAAAATCCTTGGGTCTGTAGAAATACTCATATTGTTTAGGGGAAAAAGTATCTAGGGAAGGGGGACAAATAGAAGCTATTTTTCATAGAATATATACAATGACCTTGTAATGTGGAATACCAGGCAGGGGAAAAGAAACAAATAAAAAACTGTCCTGATGGATTGTGAATTCTGTAAGAGTGTATCACCACTAAATGCAGAGTGAACATATTCATTTTGTATAAGGCTCTTTATTATTCTATACACACTGATAAACTGGAAAACCATAACTGAACAACATTTAAGGTTATGTTTCTGTAATTCTTAACATATTAAAAACTTATTAAAATAATTTTATCAGCTCTTAACGAGGTGCTCCTACCCAATTTTAGATCCACAACTAACAAAATGTGGGTTGTAAAAACTGTGCATCAAAAAGACATCAAGAAGACTCCACCTCCACCCCATCTAGGCATGAGATCCTTTTATCCACTTTATTATTAAATTCAATATTTTAATTTAATGCCCAATGTTTTCATATTTTTAATCTTTGTGTTTTATTCTGATATTTATGGCATTATAACCTACCTAGAGTTGCTTGATAGTAAGACAGATGGCATATAAATTTAATAAATAAATAAAAAACTGTTTAGACCCTTTTAATTATTTTATCTCTTTGTTTTGCTTTTATTCTCTTTTTAATTGTCTTCCACTTTGTAAACTGAAGCATTAAAATAATAAAATTTCTGTAAAATAAAACCATGAATTGTATATTAGCAGCTAATTCAGAACTTAAAGTGAAGTGTACTGAAAAAATGACTAAAACAGACTTAATAGTTTAACCACACAGGAAAACAACACCAGAAAGACCGATCAGTAAAAATGAATCAAAGCGTGAAGAGAAAATAAACTTTTATTAGAAACCAATAAAGAGCAGGAATTACAACTCTTAAGTAACATGACATAAAAGTCCAAAATGCTATGCAAAGCTGAACAGTTACCTGCAGTTCTTCATCTGTTAAATTTTCCCCAAGTTCCTTGGAAACTCGCTTTAGGTTTTTAAAGGAAATCTTGCCTGTACCATCATCATCAAAAAGTCGGAAAGCTTTCAGAATTTCTTCTTTAGAATCTTTTTCATTCTTACAAAAACAAAGGTAAGATAGTAAAATAAAATAAAAACACTTCCAAGCATCCTACATCTCTCTATAATGACAGTGAAATCATGTTACCATTTTTGTAGTCATCATTGTTAAAAAGTCTTCAAAGTTTATGGTGCTGCTTCCCTCTTTCCCAGTGTCTGCTATCATCTTTTTAATTTCTTCTTTCTTTGGCTCAAAACCAAGAGCACGCATTGCAACCTGCAATATAAAAGCTAATAACTTCTACACATCCAATACATACTTGAAAATTACCTACAAACTTTTTTGCCTAAAACAGTTGCTCCTGATTAAAGAAATTCCATTGTTGTCTCAGTTATACTAGATAGGTTCTTAATGTGGGCCAAATTGAGTTCCACCAAACATAGAGATCTTTGCAAAATTTTATTCTGTACAGAATAATGTATCCATTTATTTGTTTGTTAACTTTATTTGTTGCCTATTTTTCGTACTCTAGGCCAGTGATCTCCAACCTTGGCAACTTTAAGACCTGTGGACTTCAACTCCCAGAATTCCTCAGCCAGCTTCCTTGCTGAGGAACTCTGGGAGTTGAAGTCCACAGGTCTTAAAGTTGCCAAGGTTGGAGACCACTGCTCTAGGCTACTCTAAACATCTTAATGATGCTAGGGAGTAGATTCCAATTCAAGCATGTCATCTATTTATATAGTTTTTACAAAGTACGTCCCAATAAAGGAATATACAGTCATAATTAAGTCTTAGATCTTTTACTGCTCTTACTCCTTCAGTCTCACTATAGGAGTTGATAGGGATCTGCAATTAGCTTGCTTTCTGTTTAATCCATGAAAATTGCCCTATTGTTCTTACTTTTCATATTCTGTTGGTTTAATAATTTCCATGCAATTTCATTTCCATATATTTTTTACTATCTAACTCTAAATTACAATCTGCTATTGTTTCCCTGAGACTGCTGTTTCTGTCTCCCTTTCTCTCCAAGAAGATAGTTGCATAAAGGCTGGAAAAACATCCTGTGCTAAATCTTATCAACATGTATGCATTTATGTTCATGAAACGATAGGTTAAAGATGCCTGCTAATGAAAGTAGTGATTTGGAGCCTTGTCCAGGAGGGATTCCTGTTTTCTGATCTATACCTGGTAGAACTCAAGTTTCAAATCAGAAACAAGAGTTGATCCATAAAGCACAAAATGTATGGTATGCTCCGTCCACAAGAGGCCATCTTTGGACCTAACTGTTTTTAACAACTACTGACCAATCATCATCCTTCCCTTTTTGGGAAGATTGTTAGTTTGCAATTGATCAAAACCCTGGAAGAAACAGATTATCTAGACTCATGATGGTGAACCTACGGCATGCGTACCACAGGTAGCATGCGGAGCTCTCTCTACAGGCACGCGACCCATTGCTCCAGCTCAGCTCCACTGCGAATGCACAGGGGAGGTTACGCGTGCATGCGCAGGGGCCAAGGGAGCACATGGGGCATACAGCATAATCCTCCTGGCCTGTTTTTCATCCCAGGAGGCTTCAGGGAGGCCTACTAACCCCAAAACGGGGCACGGAAGGGTCGCGCGCATGTGCGGGGGCAGGGGGAATGTATCCATGCATGGGGAACTGGCCACATTCCATTATGAGTGTGGGCGCATCCGCTGCCGCCCGTGTGTGCATGCTTTCGGCACCAGAGGATGAAAAGGTTAGCTATCACTGATCTAGACCCATTTCAGTCAGATTTCAGGCTGGGATTTAGTATTGAGACAGCCTTGGTTGCATTTGTTGATAACTTTTGACAGATAGTAAATCTATTGTTATTATCCTTGATCTGTTAGAAGCTTTCAATACTACTGACCACAGTATCCTTCTGAGGTGGCTCTTTGGGTTGGGAATTGAGAGCACCATTTTATGGCTGTTCTCTTCCTCTTTCCAAAGGCTGTTCTAGTTGGTTGGGAGATTGTCCTCTGGACTCCTCTGTGAGATGCTGCAGGGTTCCTGTATCCCCTCCTTTTCAACATCTACATGAAACTACTGAATGAAATTATCTGACTGTTTGGGGTTTGGCATCATCAGTTTTTTACTGAAGTACTGTACTATGGTACCCATATTTTGGGTACAGTTAGCACAAAGTTTATTTAAGCAATGAAACAGCAAAGTGAAATAAGGCAACCTGTAAGTTGGGCTTCCATGGACATGACAAACAGATACGGCAAAGTTGGATTTTGCAAGCTAGTCCTGATGTAGCCCTTAATAGACCACTTTGGGTAATATCATAGGGTTGTAAGACAATATTGCAGCATAAAAAAAAATCCAAATAAAACCAAATTGTTAAAGAAGACAAGAAAAATTAATATATACCTTCAGTTCTTTGACATCAATGCTACCGCACCCCTCAGTATCAAACAAATCAAAAGCTTCTCTGATCTCCTGCTTCTGATCTTCAGAAAGCTCATGTTTTAACCCAGTACCTCTCCGACGATGGGCGCCACTCAAACCTGGTTTTTTGAATCCAGATGCCTTAAATAAATGCAAGTTAAAATAGGGTTTGAAATGTCTATTTCATTGAACTTATTTTCCACATCGGCAAATAAGATAATAGTAAAACAGCCCAAAGAACTTCTAAGGCCACCCTCACCAACACTGAGAGAGCAAGCCACTACTAGACTATAAACTGACACCAAACCCCAGTCCTTACTAGCACTGATGATATTACCTAGTTTGGGTAATGAAAGAAAACAATCAAACTTAGAGAATACCAAGGACCCCTTATTTCAACCCTGAACTATAAATATTCTCCTTTATTTGTACATGTTGCTTTCAAGTGTAGATAGATGTTCACTATATGTGGTACTTATATTGTACTGCGCTTAGATATAAGCAGATATAAAATATATTAGTTGGTAGAAAACATAAAAGTTTTCTCCTTAAAACCATATTTCAATTACATATACTTTATCTGTCTACACAGAGGTGTACTTTGAATGCTCTCTCAAGGGAAACAACCAGAAACACTTGAAGGATGGGAATAAACTGCAAAAACTCGCAATTTTTTAGTAAGATTGGGAAGGTGGCATCAGATATGGCACTAAGCCATGTTTACTTTTGAGTGTGTTGTGGAAATACAGCCCTTTTATAAACTATGATTCTCAGCCCGCTGGAGTTTAGTCAGCAAGTTATGGCTGAAAACCACGCATGCGGTGCCTTTTTACTACAAGTATTAACACTGCAAAGAGGAAACAAAATCCACTGTATTAATACAATAAATATTATTTAAATCGCCCCATGGTCCCTCGTGAAGCATTTCTTGATTTACGGTACTTAGGACTCAGGTATATTCGCTGGCAAAAAAGGCACTAGTTTTCTGCACACTTATCAGGGAATAAATAGGACCCCCCCCTCCCAGCAGAAATTCAGAAGATCGAGATGCACCACTTATTTTTTTAAAAAATCGGATCGGTTTTTACTTTGTTCGGGTTCTAAAAATATCCGCGAGTAAAATAGGGCATAGATTTACTACAGCCAATCAGGCTGGGTTTGGCGCGAAAAGTAATCCGAAAGCCACTGGGTTCAGGATGAATTGCAACTGTGATCGCTAGAGAGTTAATGACGTTGTAACTTAATTCAGTTAACCAGATCCAGAGAGAGGGGAATGCGTGAGAAAGGCTACAAAAAGATTATCAGATATTATTTCCTTTACCAAAACCTGGAGAAAGAAACACTCACCATTATCTTACAGAAGCTGGGTCACTTGTTCAAGAAACCACACAAACCAAACCACCTGCAAGAATCGATTACGTTCCGCCTCTAACGTGCCCGGATTGTCCAATGACAGAAAAGATTCCCGCGAAAATTCGCCTCTCTTCGTTACACGAGGCCAATCCAGAACCGCGAGTGACGGCCGGGCTTTGTGACGCCATTTGGAGTTCGTGTTGCAGTTTCCGCTGGATACACAACAAACGAGGCGCTGGCGTCCTAGTAACCAAACTGAGGACGCGAGGAGGTTGAGCGTTGGTTTCCCTGGGCAGCTACTGGTTGACACATTATTTTGCAATAAACCAAGTGGGGTCAGGGTGGCTTCAGTCTGTGCTGAGATTATTGCGGTAGGGAGATTCGGAATAAGGCGTTGGCTTTTGACCACTTTCATTAATGAAACAGCAATGTAGCCACATTGGTCCAGCAGGAGCACCAAACAAACCCTCAAGCGTAACAACGCAGGATTTATTTATTTATTTATTTATTTATTTGTGTAACATGTACAAGATAGCAAGTATAAGTATAAACATAAACATGAACAAAGCAAGTAAATACAGATAAATAGAGACAGTAAGGCAGGGACAGTAGGCACGCTGGGGCGCTTATGCAAGCCCCCGTTAAGGACCTCTTGAGAAAGAGGGGAGGTCCACGATAGACAGTTTGAGACTGAAGCTGTGAGAGTTTGAGGCTGTAACAACGGACTCAGGGCATTCCAGGCGTTGACCACTCTGTTGCTGAAGTACTTGGGTTCTTAGTGTTTAGCCATTTACTTGTCACCGAAGCAAGCACCGAAGAAAAATTTATCAAGGTCTCAACAGGATCAGAACAATAGTACTGGAAACTCTTGCGATTTATTTCGTATTTGTTGCGACTTATTTCTAAAAGTTTTTTGGCTCGAGCCTTTCACAAAATCCTTCCGAAGCATTGTTTAGACTTGTAAAGCCTCTTGTTTATTTTGTTTACATTTTTCTATAAGGACCGCATTAAACTGAAGGACTATCGGAAATAATCAAAAGCTCAAGCAAATATATGAACGGAAAACAAAGAGTTGGCAAATAATTACTGACGTGAATGAGTTCCTAGGTGAAATAACTGACAAATGAAGCAAAAGTATATTTTAAGAGGATCACAGGATAAAAGTGATTCGTGAACTTCCTGTCGGTTATTGATAGTTCACATAATTTACTATTTTTAATGAGCTTTAATAACTGACCTGAATATATCAATTTTTGAAGCTTCCCAAGGTCTCAACAGACTCTGCATTTCGCTCACTCATCTTTCTTTTCGCTGGAGTAAGGGCAGAATACGGGCAAAAGCCTCAGAGGCTACCGAGCATGCTCAGCAGAAGACATTTCCGTCCGGGGCAGCGGCGCAGAGACCATGGATTGCTCGAGATGTAACCGAGGGCACCTCCTTTGCGAAGAGAGGCAAGATTAGGGCCCTTAATGGGAGAAGGATTAATAGTTTCTCGGGTTCAAGCTGCGGATTCTAACTTTCACAAAGGGAACTAAAGCTGAGCAGGT